AACACCACTCCTAAACCAATTTAGTCACTTTCACATCCTTCAAATTCGTTCTTTGCTTCCTCTTCTTCTCCCTTTATCTTGTTTCTGATGCATTGCATATTTTTAATGGTCTTTACTTTTCTTACCATTGCTACTACTGGATAAATCGAACTGCATTTCGTCTCAATCTCCCTCACCAGATTGTCAGTTGATAGAATCTTAACCAGTTTCTCTACTTCAATTCCATTCAGTGTCTTCGTCAGTATCTCAACAATAATCTTCCTGATTTCTTTCACCTCAGATGCCTTTGCATAATGCCTCAGTCCATTTGGATTCTTCCTCTTCGTAACGGTGTTTACGAATATCCTCCACGTCGATCCACACTTCGTGCTGATTTCCACCTGTGTTTCAATCAGCGTATGCCACTTCCTGATCATCGCAGTCACCTTGTCCTGTGACACTTCCATTCCATTGAACACCGAAAGACAGTCATTCCCACGTACTCCATTCACCTTGAACTTGAAGTATCTTGGACTGTTCTGCGCCTGCTTTGGATCACTGCATTCTAAGTCTCCCTGATTCACTGAGAATGTCCTTCCAATCAGAAATTGATTCAAATCCTGTCTACTTCTCACTTTAGGATGACTAGTTGTTCCATGACTTGTTACAGGAAACAGTCTACTTGTCAAATTGTAGAACTTGTTCTTACTGAACCTGCTCTCCTTTCCCCTGCTCTTATTCTTCTTTGCTCCCTTACTTTTCGATACATAACTTCCTGCTGTTCGTATTGCCATGGGCTTTAAAAATTTGCTAAATTATCTTTGTTGCCTACAAAATNGATCACTGCATTCTAAGTCTCCCTGATTCACTGAGAATGTCCTTCCAATCAGAAATTGATTCAAATCCTGTCTACTTCTCACTTTAGGATGACTAGTTGTTCCATGACTTGTTACAGGAAACAGTCTACTTGTCAAATTGTAGAACTTGTTCTTACTGAACCTGCTCTCCTTTCCCCTGCTCTTATTCTTCTTTGCTCCCTTACTTTTCGATACATAACTTCCTGCTGTTCGTATTGCCATGGGCTTTAAAAATTTGCTAAATTATCTTTGTTGCCTACAAAATCAGATTCACTATTTTCTGGGCTAATTTGATGCCAATGACTACTGTTTCATTCTCCTTGTTTTTGAATGTGACCTGACTTAAATTTGTGGTGTTTTGGGTAGTGATATTTTTCAGTAGATTTTCAGTAGTTTCGTATTTGAGGGAAATGGCTTCTGCTTTAACCGGTGTAACACCCTTGATTCTGATTAGGGTGTTATAGAGCACTTCTGATGGATTCATTGGAGCATTTTTGCTTGTTTTCTCTGTAAATGAGCCAAATCCAATACCACATTCATCAATTGATTCAAATTCATCTTTGATATATTGATCAAATTGCCTGATAAATGATACTGTTTCACTGATATTCCTGGTTCGTACGACTGTAAAGTTGTTGTTAATTGTCAAATTGGTGATCTCTTGGTTCAAACTCCTTCCTTCCACCTTCTTATCTTCTTCTATGATATAAAACACCTTGAAATTGTCGAGATTTCGTAATCTGTGGCACTGTTCCTTGAATCTGCCTGTAAAGACACTTTGTAGAAAGTCACTGGTCTGTTTGCGTTCAATTATGTATGGCAAAACAGTTAGGCCACGCATCCAAATGAAATCACCCAGTTCAAGAGTGCGTGTTTCAACGCCTAGGTCGTGCAACTCCTTCTGAAAATAGACAAACTCCCTTTGACTTCTTCTTTCTCTCCTATCTATAGTCAACCTAATTTGATCAATTCTACTGGTATTGTTTGTTATTGCTTCATCCTTATTAAATTGCATACTTTCTGCTAAAGTACACCCTGATTCAGTCAGGTAATACTTCTTATTCTCTTCATAAATTATTCCTTTTTTCTTTAATTCAGTTATGTTGTATGAATTGGTGTTTTTGGTCCGATCTGATGGCATATGCTCCTTAGCGTGTAAGAATAGCACATTTTTGTGTAATCCATTGCGACTCAAATAAAGTGCCTTGATTATTGCATATGAATACGATTTGTATCTTGGCTTGTATTTTCTTATAGTTTCCTTCTTTTTATCACAACTATTGGTGATAATGGTTGCCGTTGATTTAATATTGATTTTATTTGGCTCTTCAGCTATTTTGACTGTTTTGCTCAAATCAACTACTTCTCCAGCATCTTCTGTTGTACTGATGATTATTATATCACTTGTATCATCACTGGTTCTATTCATCAATATTGATTGTTTTTCTACCACTATTTTCTGATTAGGTTCCTTGATTTCTCTTTTATCGTTGATCACTGCATCTAAATCTATATTTGATAGATCAATATCATTGAAAGCAGTCAAATCATCAGCTGATTCTGTAGAAGACAACTTTTCTTGTTTTAATTCTGTGATGTTATTTTTAGTGGTTTCATTTTCTTCAAGCAATTCCATATATTCCTTATTTGCCTGAATACTATTCCGATATCTCTTTACAATACTACTTATCTCACCGGTGTATCCACTTGTATCATTCTTACTACTCAGGTATTTCAGCTCCATTTCACTCAGGTTACTGCTCATTTTTTCCATATCCTGCTTAATTTCTTCAACTTCTAAAATAACCTTGCTCTGTTGAGTTCCTGGTTCTGTTAGCAATCCACTTATCTCAGTTTGCTTCTCTAATTCTGCTTTTATTTTCATGAATGTTTTGGGTCCCATAAATTTAATGGTTTGGAGCTCATTCAGACTGGATATTGTTTCCCTATTTCGTATTTCTTTCATAAGCGCCCACAACGATGCCTGACTTCTATCATTTGTTCTCTTTATTATTGAATACAATGCTTTAGTAACGTATTCTTTGAGCATAAAATATTAGGGTTCTATAAACAAATTGAAAATTGCAAATATTCTCGTTCTAATTTGCTAGTTATCTGAATCTATGTCTCTTTCAACCTCTCTACCTTCAAAAATGGCAAGATTCAACAGCTCTTTTGCCGTAGGTCTCTTTCTTGGATCATATTGTAGGCAACTCTCCAATAAAGGCAGAAGTGGCATGTATTCTGGGCTCTTGATGAAATTCTTGAACTTGATACGCTCTCTTGGAATCGATTGGTCTGCCATTACCTGCTTTATCAGCTCATTTGGCTGAATTTTGTATTCGGTGATGAATTCTTTTAAATCCTTCTTTCCCAATAGCCTTGTAATGCAATAGAGAACATCTTCGCTCTTCTTTTCAATTTTCTTAGTTCCATTAATAGATCCAAAGAATGGATGCCTATTTGTTATTGCTTCACCCAATACTGCACCAAATGACCAGATGTCTATGGCATAATCGTAGTACACGTACTCACAAAGCAGCTCTGGTGCCTTGTAGTACTTGGATGCAACACGAACAGAATACTCCTTTTTCTTGAAGTAGAATTCAGCTAGGCCAAAATCAATTATCTTCAGCTCCCCAGTCGCCCCGTTTATGATCAAATTACCAGGTTTGATGTCTCTGTGCATTATTCCGCGACTGTGGCACTGTTCAATTCCCCTAAGAATTCTTTTCATTAAGTTTATGCATTCTCTAAATGAACAATTCTGTAAAATGTCATACGAATTGCCATGGATTATGTGATTGAATATCAACGAATGTGTCTTGGTTACTTTGTCGTAACAAACTCCCTTTAGCCGAATAATGCTGTTCTCTTCTTCACCTGTTTCAGCCAAATTCTTCAATACCAACACTTCCCTTTGTATCTTCTGCTCCTTGATTGGCTTCAACACCTTTATAACTACCAAATTGCCACTCTCCTTCTCTGTTCCCATAAACACCTCCGAATATCGACCTCGTCCCAGAATCCTGTTTATCGTGTATCCATCTGGTGAAACAGTCTCTATTTCGTAGTTTGTGTAGTCTGAATAGGCAGCTGGAGCCATCTCGTTGAATTCTGCGTATTCTTTGGGCGGTGCTATCTTCATTAAAGCAGGGTAGGCAAATAAAACAGTTAAGCTTATTTACCCCGAATGCATAAAAGAGTAGCCATTATAGGTTGTGGAAACTGGGGTGCAACTGTGGCAAATCTGATTGCGAATGGACTAGATGAGAGCGTATTTGGTGATGAGATACTCATGTACACCCATGAAACAATGGTTGAGTACAAAAATAAGAAAAGAAAATTGTCTGAACTTATAAATCATGAACACGTCAATCCAAAATATTTACCAGGCATAGAAGTCAACAAAAGAATCAGGGCCGTTGTAGATTTTACTGATCTAACACATATAAGCATTATGATCGTCTGTTTGCCACATCAATATCTCAATGCACTTAAAAATATTGATTTTATTAGAAATGGAATCAATAAGGATGAACTGATGGTCATAAACCTATCAAAAGGCCTCGTTACTGATGAAAGTGGTCTACCAATTACACCATCAGAATACATCAGTAGATTATTAGGTGTCAATGTCTCAACATTACAGGGAGCAAACATAGCAAATGAAATAGCTGATGGCTGCTACGCTGAAACACTGATAGGGTATCATAAGGAAGAAGAGAGGGAGATCTACGCCTGGCTATTTGGTAAAAGGCACTTTCGAGTCTCATTTGTGAAGTATAATCCGACAATTGAGATGTTTGGTGCTCTCAAGAATGTGATTTCTCTGGCAATGGGCATTATTGATGGAATGGCCTATAAATCAAAGATAAAGATCAAAGTGTCCTCAAATACAAAGGCAATGATTTTTAGAAAGGGATTGGTTGAAATTATGGAAATAGCGAAACTGATGAAATACGATAATGTGAAGAGATTGGTCTTTGAATCCTGTGGCGTGGCTGATTTATTCGTGAGCTGTTTGGCTGGTAGAAACTACAAATGTGGGCAGTTGGTGACAGACTATTCAGGCAGTAACATTTTAAACGAATTGGAATCCAATTTCAATGGACAGAAAATACAGGGATTAGGCACAGTTGAACACATTCACGACTACTTGAAGCACCTGAACAAAATCAACGAATTTGAACTGGTGAAAATGGTATATGAAGTATTCCATGTAACTGGAAATGTTGAACCAGTCTACAAATACCTTGAGAAGTAAAATGGTAAACCGTATTGAATAGAAGCAATGGAATTGATAACACACTATTTGATTTCTGGTATTCATATTGGCCTAACTAACCCTTTTTACTGGAACCAAACCTAATGAAGATGTAAAGGGTTGCTCCACAAAGGAAGAAGAGGACAGATGCACCGATACAAATGTTCCGCCTTTTCGTGCTGGCACTCTTGAAGGCATCAGGATCCTTGGTGACTTCCTCCTCCTTCTTTTTGCCCTTGTTCTTGTGCTTTCTCATTTTTACGTCTTTTGTTCCATCAAATATGAAGGCATTCGATGGATCAAATGTTATTTTTGATAGTAGCCCATTTTCAACCAGGTGTCTGAACATTTCATCAGTTTTCACTTTGATTCCACTACCGCATTTGATGACGTCCTTCTTGTTCTGCAGCTGTGCCACTGTTTCCTCCGTTTTTAGGGTGAAAACCATCTGTGAAAGCGTGAATGACTTCTTCTTTGCTCCAAATGAACTGATTTGTATTGGATCACACACCTTACAGCACAATAGTCCTCCTTCATTCATAATTATGGTTGAATCATGTGATATTATGTATTTGTGCTTTGGATCATTGGCAAAGACTATTTCTGAATCAGTCAATGCTGATACTTTATAGGTTTTACTGCCTTTATCATACGATATCATGATATGTGCATTCTTATCTGTGAAATTGAATACGTCTTCATCAGTGCATAAGACCGGTTTCTCATCAATTCCCCAGATCCAATCCACAAGAGAACCGTAGATGCCCATTGTTCCCCTTTACCTGATTCTTTTCAATCCCCTTTTGTATTACAGGGGCTGAATGATTGATATCACTGTCTATGACTGTTTAAGAAGTATTCAAAATAAGTTGAATTTTTACCCTATAAATGAACAGACCAAAGACAGAAATATCGCAATCAGAATCACTGCCAAATACGATAGAAATCAGGCTGAATGACGAGGGCCATACTGCAGCAAGTGTGATAACAGAACGAATGGAGGAGTCAGTTGATTTTGTGGCCTATAAAATAACACACCCAACTGATAATTTTGTGACAATTCGAGTTCAATCAAAGGAGAATCCAGTACTACAGTTCAAGAAGTGTGTTAAATCAATCATACGAGACATATCTGAAGTGATTGAACAGGTTGAGAATGCATGTTGATGAAAGATACGAGAATTAATGAATTAGTAAAAGTTGTCTACCACAATTCCTCATTGATAATTTTGGTTCCCCAATGGCAGACTTTAAAATTTTGCCAATGCATGAGAGAGCAAGAATACCAGAGTTTGGCCCAGGAGGATACACGCTGTACGCAAGTGAGGACTTTCTGGTGCATTCTTGTCTTCCTAGTGCTATTCCAACAGGACTAAAAATGTCATTTCCACCAACACACTGTGCCCTAATTACAAGGCACAAACTCAAGACATTGGCTGGGCTGGTAGACAGTGATTACAGGGGAGAAGTCAAAGTTATTGTAATTTCCAAGGAAGAAGTCAAAATAAAGGCAGGTGACCCAATTGCGCGTCTACAGATGCTTGAAATTGAATGCCCAGAAGTTGAAGTAGAACAGGGGTATCCAACAGATTTCAAACAGCAGCCTCAATAGGAGACTACAACTTTATTTCATTAAGTTTATGCGCTATAGACCATTCTGTTTCCACTGTTTCAGACCTGATTGTTGTCTCACCAGTCTCCTTAATTATTCCTAGCTGAACACAATTCGATGCCTTTGCGTCCTTGTAGATGAGTATCCTGCATGCTGAAGCCATTAGTGTCTCAGCCTGGGTCTAATTCATTTCTTCTAGGTTTGTTGCTCTGAAAAGAGGTAGAGCAAAGTGTGAAGCAAATCCAGTTGCAACTGAAGTGTCTTCCCAGAATACGCCTTTTGAATTAATTGTTCCCAGAAACATGTTAGGGTTGCCAGACTCTCCTAGATTGGTATTTGCCTTACCAATTCCAGCTACAACAATTGAACAGAATTTTGGTTCAGTCTTGGACCTAGCACCGTACAAAACAAGTTGTAGGAACTTGAATATTCCTTTAGCATCAATAGGACTCTTATCATTGGCAATCTCTTGCTCTAGGTCTTTTTTAACCTGTAAGAAATCTCCAACAAAGCCATTGAATGTAATTAGAGTATTGTTGATGCAGAAAATGCGATTTAGTTTGGTTGCTGCTAGTGATCCATAGGTTACTGAGGTGTCAGCGGCTACAATGATTCCATCCTTGAACTTAAATGCCAGGGTTGAAGTTGTTTGTAACATGAGGGTGAAAATAAACAAGGTTTTTGAAAGAAAACACTTTTTATTAGCTGAAATAAAGATACATTAACAGACTGGATTATTTGAAAGGTTTTGATAGGGAGAATGCTATTTAATGAGGGTAGATAAACAACAGCAGCAACCAAAACACTTAAGAACAATTTGTTTAAGATATTTTAGCCAATAAGTTGATTTAACCAGGTAAATATCTATAATGGTTTTCCCTGTTTGAAAACACCACTCCTAAACCAATTTAGTCACTTTCACATCCTTCAAATTCGTTCTTTGCTTCCTCTTCTTCTCCCTTTATCTTGTTTCTGATGCATTGCATATTTTTAATGGTCTTTACTTTTCTTACCATTGCTACTACTGGATAAATCGAACTGCATTTCGTCTCAATCTCCCTCACCAGATTGTCAGTTGATAGAATCTTAACCAGTTTCTCTACTTCAATTCCATTCAGTGTCTTCGTCAGTATCTCAACAATAATCTTCCTGATTTCTTTCACCTCAGATGCCTTTGCATAATGCCT